CTTGTTCCATTTTATTTGGTTTTTCTTTTAGACCTGGCCTATTAAAAACAATTGCATCGGCCCAAACCCAAATTATTTGCATTTCTCCTTGATGTTGAGTTTGACTAATTTCACACTAATAAACACACTAAATGGCTACAAATATGACCTATAAGAAAAGACTTTTATTAGTGAAAACAGCATTAAAATTACTGAATATCAACTCCAGAATTTTACCACAATGGTTCAGTTTACATGAAACAATAATGAAAATATACATTGCAATTCGTAGTCGGGAGAACTGAGCTTATTATGATTTTCAAAGACTTCCATGAGCAGTATCCATTGCACAACATGGCTTCCTCAGGTTGGTAACCAGCAACACAGGACATGATCTAGTATCTGTAAGGTGCCAACTAAGAGAAATGTGTTGTTCAGAAACTTTAGAAGACTATTTCCTTCCTATAGCTAATTTGAAAGTGATGTTTTGTATTTTTTCATTACATAGTCATAATTTCTCTGAAGACCTTATTCATGAGCTTTTTAAGTTAAACAAGTAATTTCTCATTTCTGACATATTAATGAAATCACTAGACTTTCTATCTAGCCAGGGTCTACAAAAGCAAACTAAGGTGGAGGGCTGAGTAATTCTTTCCTGGTTCTGGGTAATGTAGTCCATGGATCTGGTAATTATTAGGATTTAATGAAAAATCCGAATCTTTTTATTCTCAACAGCATTTATTTGGCTCAAAGTATTTAAGCAGTTGTCTCACAGCCCCACTTCATTTTCCCTCTGTAGACTTAGGAACAACAGGCTAAATGTAATCTTTACAAAATTTAAGAAGCCCTACTCTTTCATAGAAGATAGATAACACCGTTTGCCTTCCTGGATTTCCCCTTCTGAAATGCAATCTTATCAACCAGTGGAAACTAACACAAAACAAAATTCAAAATTAGATTAAGGGCAATTTTGTCCCAATACGTTATTTAAAATTCATTTAACCTCCTGTTTGCTTTTAATTTAACAAAGGACAGATAACCAGCAAATACAAAATTGAGGGTTAACAATCATCAGGTGAACTTGATATTTGTTGCCAGTTATTCCCGGTAAGTGAAGCCACAAACAGGATATTTTAGTTCAGCCCATCTGACCATAGTGACTAATTGAATGAGCACTGGAAATGAAGCCAAACCTTCATCTGATACCACTTGTCTACATAACTGGGTAGCCGGGGCCCAAAGCCCTCTGCTCAGTACTCACGAAGAACTAAAATGAGTCATACAATCACGGGATATATATCCTGTGATACGTAAAACATTTAGTCCAAAAGCACTTGTATGTGCTATCTATACTGTTCACTTCTTCAGCAGAGCTAGGTATAAGACCTAAGACCACAAAACTCTTCATTTATATTCTCTGTTTCCCTCTCTCTTTACATCTCTTCCCATAAGGAAATGTGCAGAAGCATTTAAATAGTTAAGATTGAATATTAATATTTGCTTATCTGCAGTTATGTCAGATCCCAACTGGTTAATGGGAGTGGGCTGCCAGTGGAAAGGAACACAGATTGCAAAGATGTCTGAAAAGAAAGCATCTCTTAATGGAGATTTAGCAATTACATTTAATACAAACAGTATTCTAAAGCTCTGTATCTTACCCTCAAATCTAGGTGAAAAGATCAATTTGGTTACTGCTTTATTTCTTCTGAAAGATAATGGAAAGATAAATACATTTAACAAACTGTGGCTTCAGAAATACCATTGTAGCAAACAATTTTATTAATACTTTCATAAAAATGGCATTTAATAAATTCTCTCTGATAGCTTGATGTTATTAAAAGCAAACAAAAGTCATTAAAACAGTTTCTTCCCATGATTTACATTAGCTTTTATAGCATGACTGGATTTTTATCTTATAAGCTAACCTAAAATACTAATAATTAAATCAGGGTAAAAACAATACAATGTGTTTTCTTTACTTTATTTCAAAATAGTGATTATAAATACATTCTTAATATATTTTCTCCCCAGCTCTTTGGATGCGACAACAATAACAAAAAAAAAAAAAAAAACAACTCACTGTGCTCATTTCATACAGTGTCAATGTACAAATCATGCAAAAGATATTATAGATTACTATTACTGCCATACATTTCTAGATGTGTTGTTATTTCTGCAAAACCTGCTGACGTTACTCATGAGGCCATGCCCTGTATAATTTATGCATCCTTATGGCTTAAAGAAACAAAAATGCTTTAAAAAAGCAACAAAAGAAAGCTGGTCTTAAATGATTTGCTAATTAATATATTTATTCAGTTTATTTTTCAGAATGGAAAACTAAATATAGAACATAAATTGCCTTATAGACTTGAATCACTGTATTTTAATAGCTGCTTTCTCATAAAATTATACAAAGATTTACTTTTAAAGAATTGAATCATTTTTATTGATTTCATAAAAAAATAATTTAAAACTTGATTTATATTACACGGACATAATATATTATCTCAGCCCCTTCACTAATTTCATACGATCTAATCTTCTTTGTAATCATTCTAACAGAGTCCAAGCACATGATACAATGCCAAGAAGCCCATGATGTGTCAGACCACATTAGACGTGAGCTCTTCTTGGATTTTCTAGATTTGAATCAAATTCTACCAAAGATGCTGCACTGACATATAGATCATTCCTCAAGGGGTTAAACTAACATCAAGGTTATAGTTGAAGCCAACAAAATGTACAGTATCTTAACTGCTCTTGTTCTCAACTCAAAACTTATGCCTAACTATATTATCATAAAATGTACAACTAGAACTAATGAGAGACAGGTGCAAAACAGTATACACTGTATAACGTAGGCACAATGACCAGTTAAGGAAAATAGATTGGCCTTAACCAAGGATTTGTTACTGTCATTCACTTACAGTTAAAACCTCCAAATAACCACACACATTGATATTACTTTTTAAAAAATGTCAAACATTTATACCTTTCGGCAGAAGAGTATGAGATAGCCAATATGCTACAGCAAGCTTTGAGATGGTGGCAGGTACTCTTGCCATTGACAACTGCAGAAACCTTGAAACATCTTCAAAGCATCACCACACTGAATAAAAGGCATCATCCCAATGACCTATTATCCCCAGATCATGGATAGAGCTTTCCGGTTCCTCCCATAAGTGTCTACTTAAGATTCCTTAATCCATACTTTATTGACAGGATAAACTAAAACACTTTCTTTGAAGCCTTTGCGTCTTTATCCTGTCAGTATGCATTAGGAGCCCTTTAATCCATGGATGAATGCAAGCATGGTAATGGCATATTAAAAGTCCTTATGAAATTGTAGATGAAAACACGCTGTTGGGCACACATCTTCGTGTCTTTTCTTTCAAGATCAGAAAGCAAGTATTTGTTTGTATTTTTTTTAATATTCATATAAAGTTTTCACAGACATTGTCATGAAAATTAAAATTACACATTAAAGTTTTAAGAGCACCAGCACATACATATGGAGACAATTTTTCTGCTATTTAAAAAAAAATCTCCAGATTATCTATATGTATGCATATACACCCAAATACACACACAGGCACACACACACACACATACGCGCACACCCTCTAAGAATGCCAAGTTGTTGTTGTTTTTTTTTAATCCTGGAACAAACATATAAAGCCCTGAAATTAGTACTTAATAAAGGGACTACTGTTACAACTTTAGCCGCCACATCATTTTGGAAGCTGCACCAAAACATCTGCCACTTGAAGTTCATGAAGAATGCCTATGTTTACCTTCTTGGTCATCTCACTGACTAATATAGTAATTATAAGAGATGGAGCACAAAGAAATATACATATGTAGGCAGGCCAAGAAGGTAATGTGTTTCAGGATGTCACTTTGCTAATTGGGAGCTCCTAAAAATCTTCAAATGTCTCCCATTATCAAGTCCTTCCTTTGACCAATTTTGACCATAAAAGTTAACAGCACAAGCAAACACAGTGGCATATCATTTATAGTTGCGGACTGTGAACTCATCTGAGACCAATGAAAGCATTTTACAGTGTGGCTTTGATAGCCGAGATCACCATGATGTTCACTGCTCTACTGGATTATCTGATAGTAGCTGGAATGATGACAGAACAGGATACTGATGCATACGAGATATAACTATTAACCTTACTCATTAATTTTTTTTTAAATATTTGTAGTGAAAACTATTTGAATTAAGCTCATAGAATCCTGAAAAGCAAGACAACTGATGGCAAGTAACAACTGCCCCAGACACGATACTATAAAACTAAGGAACTTATTTTAAAATGCACAGTTGGTAACAAATCTGAAGATAATATGCTAAATTCTCAAGAATAGCACAGAACTGTTTTTTTGTATTTTTGTGTTTTTGTGGTTTTTTTTTTTTGTCTGTTTCGTTTTTAAATTATACCTGATCACAATGTCCAGAATATTTCTGTACACAGAAGCTTTAGTTTCGGTTTGGTATATTTTTTTTCTGTCTAAATTTATACCTATTGATAAAGTCCCTGTGATCAGGAAAACAAGTCAGGCATATTAAATACATATTAAGGAGTACATATTTTCCTATTTAGTATACAAAGTACTTCATAAATATGAAATATGTTACAAAAATAGCTTTGGGTGCGCTCACACGGTAAGCACTTTGCTAATTTTGGACAACCTTTAAGGATTGTGGGTATTTCACGTAACTGAGAACAAACTCTAATGTTAGTTTAATTTGAGCCTTGTTTAATTCTGATAAACATCATGTATTTCTTCAGATCACCACAAACGCTATGTAACTCACGTTGACTTTTTTCTTTTAGGTCTTATGTATAGACAGGTAATGCTTAAAGTGTTCAAATTTATTTTATAGTTATGTAATGCATGGTATATTTTAAACAAATATTTGCACAATTTAACATTATAAATCCAGCGGTTTCAAGATGCAGGCCATTAAAGTTTACCGATTTACAAATACTATCAAATGTTCTCTCTTTGCATGCTTTTTTTTTTTTTTAACTTTTCAGATAATCTTTACACAGAGTTGTTACAATGCCACAAATCAAAAGGATTTATTCCAGTTCCACCGACTTAATCTACGTGCAAGATGAAGGACCCAGCTGAGGTACAAACACTGGTACCAGTTTTCTTGAGTTTGCTTTACAAAGCACAAAGAGACGAAGGTTTTGCATTGGGGTACAAAACAGATTTGCCTCTTGAGGTTAAATTCAGTGTATCATGTATATAAAGCATCCCTTTGGCAATAGAGTTTGCAGTATCCCCACAGGACTCCCCAGTATAGGTTTTATGTAGTAAAATCTATTAAGGAAATTCTCATCTACTGGACACATCTTTGCAGCTACAGTTAATGAGACAGCCTCGGAAACACCTGCCTCTATGCCTATTGATAATATAGTATTTGGAAGTTAGAAGTCAACAAAAGGCACTTTCATCATTAAATAAATGTCCTCTGTATGAAGTGAGATTGCATGACCTAGATCTTGTTCAAAGCTGTCTGCTCCTCAAGGACCTGTAGGTAGTCAGGGGAACTCTGGAGTTTTGCCTTCAGTTCAAAATACTCGCTGTTCTTGCGCTGCTCCACGACAATTTTACTGTGGTTGCCGCCTATCAGTGACTTCTTGGTTTTTTTGTCTTGTTGTTTTTCTGGATAGCGGATCTCAAAGCCACTGACACCTATGCTATTGTACTCCTTTTTGCTTTCCAGAAAATTCTGAATAAACACATTGGAATCCCTGCTCGGGAATAATTCATCCAGCTCATCAATTGTGCTCAGTCTCTTCCTGCTATCCACGTGTAATAAATCTTTCTCCTTGTCGGCAACATTTCTCATAAGGACTTTCTGTCCTGGAGGATCTGAAAACATGAAGCCGGTTTCTGACTCTTTCAAACCGCAGGTGTGGCTCTTGCTCATCTGCTCTATGGTTTGTGGAATGAAAGCTTCTGTGCTCAGTCCGTCTTTTTTATTGGTCCTGTGGTCATGCTTCCTCAGCTGCAGCTGCATGGAGCCACACTCAGGATTCCCCAGGCCCTCGTGCTTGACCGTGGGCTTCTTGTTTCGCCGCAGCACAAAAACAAGAAGACAGAAAGCAACGAACACAGTTAAGATGAGGACCACTAAGATACTGAGGATTAAAATAGACAGAGGCACCGGGCCACCGGGAGGACTTCGAATGGGACCCAGCGGGGTGGTGAATGTGATGGCAGGTGCAGGGCTCGTGAATGGCGCAGATGGCTTGTTTAAGAGTTTGGGACATAAGATTTCATTTTTGAGGGACTTCAGTTCGATGTTGGCAAACTGAACAGGTGTCTCACATTTCAGCTCTTTCACGACAATCCCGTCATTCAACTTCTCCAGCCACAGCTTTAACGCCACCAAGTCACAAGTGCAGTCCCAAGGGTTGCCCTCCAGGTCAATCTGTGTAAGAGACTGCAGCTGATCGAGGACACCGCTGACAGGTAAGTACATGAACTTGTTGTTCCTCAGGTTCAGTCTAGCGAGGGGTGCTCCCGAAAAAATGTAAACAGGCAAGCTCTTTAAGAGATTATTGTTTAAATACAGTAACTGTAAATTTGGCATCGAGTCAAAGGTGCCTGCTAAGATCTCCTTAATCAAATTGTATTCCAAATACAGATACTGCAGGTTATGAAGGCCTGAGAATATCTCAGGATAGAGTCTTTCAATCTGATTGCCATTGAGATAGAGCCTGCGTAAATTAGTGAGATTGTGGAATACATCTCCCTTGATCACTGTAATCTGATTGCTGCCTAAATGGAGCAAATCCAGTCCTTCAAACTCGGCAAAGTCTGCGATGTCCACGTCTTTGATGCTATTGCCATTGACATGCAGCTTCTTGGCATTTAAAGGTTTTGGTACCAGTTCAGACATGGACTGTATATTTTTCTCTTGGCAGTTGACACTCAGTCCCAAATCTGAAGGATGTGTTTTGCAAAAGCAAGGGGCCGGGCAAGGTGTCAGGGGAGGCACCCTTGTTTGGTAAGACACAATCTGACTGAGATTGCGATTGGAGAGGGATTTGCCTGCCACGATTCCAGAGATCTTGGAAGGATTTGTGGTTTTCGGTGGTTTGGTCACTAATCTGTGTAAGGATGTTTGGGTCGTGTGACCATTGGGAGTGGTGAAGCCATTCTCCAGCTGAGACGGAGGCAGGATTCGTACATCAAAATCACTGCCCGTGCCCATGGGGCACAATTCTTGTTTGTTGGTCTCTTTTAAAAGCCTTCCGTATAAGTCACTGGGAGTTTCGCAGATAGCCTCTCCTATGTAAATGTTATATGGCATATTCTCCAGCCAAGCTTTTAAAGGCAACAAATCACAGCTACAGTTCCAAGGGTTGTCTTCCAGTTGCAGTTCAACAACACGGCCTATGTGTTCCAGAACTCCGATATAGGGGAGCTTCTGGATTCTGTTCCCTCGTATATCCAGATGGGTCAAAGATGCGAATCGGAAAATATTATCAGGAAGGAATGAAATCAGATTGTCATTAAGAATGAGAACTTTCAGTTTGTGGAGCTTATTGAAGGCTCCTCGTTCAATATACTTGATTAAATTGTAGTCAGCCTGGAGATACTCCAAGTTCTCGATGCCAAGGAAAGTGTCAGCTCGGAGAATCTTTAATTCATTGTTGTTCAAGTGCAACTGCTTTAATGCACTGAGCCCAAGAAAGGCTCCTCCCTCAATGTTCTGCAGCTTATTATTTCCCAGCTGCAGGGATACTGCGTGTGAAAAATTCAAGAATGTATTTGGATAGAGGATATTTAAAAAATTGTTTTGGAAATTGAGGTGATAAAAATTCGACCACGGTGGCTTCAGCTGAGTTGGTCTGTAGACCGAAACTTTCTCGCAGTTGACATAGAGCACATTCTCGACTGACACGCAGGAGCACACGTTGCAAATTTCCACCGATATGTCAGAATCTGCATTTGCGAAGGAAATCGGGGCTGACAAAATCAGAAAGAGCCAAAGAAACATCTTCTTGCAATCAGCAAACAACTTTATGCTTCTGAATAAAGAGAAATAATCTACAAAATAAAAAGAAAACATTTTTTCAATGATCATTACTTGAAAAAGTATTTGCGCTTACATCATACCGTAGTGAGCGTGTGGCTGCAATGGTTAGCTTTGTAGTTTTCTGCAAGGATTCTCACTCAGGTGAACAATAATCACCAGAAATGCCAACAGCTTTATTTCCATACCTGTAGTTTACACATTTTACACGTGCATAACACCCAACAAACAACAGGGGAAAAAGGCTTGATTGTGCTTAAACCTTTACAATCAGAAAATATTTTCTCTACATGGGCTATCAAATTCCACCCTTGAACACAGACCTTTTGCAACTCTAATGACTGATCCCAGGCCATCAACTCTGCCTTTGTAGTTTGCACCACAAAGGCATTTCAATCTGTAGAAATCTGCTCTCTGGGCTTCAGCTCGATAAGAGGCTGAACAGAGAAGATAGTAGAGCCCCGGATTCAACGGAGGGTGGCAATGGGAGGGACTGGGTTGCTGTAGAGGGGACAGTCAAAAGATCAAGGTAGAAGGAGCCCTGGGAAGAGATCTGCCTGAGCTTCAGCCCACAGGTAAGCACACTGCCACGAACCAGTTCACTCCTGTACATGGCTGCCTTAAAAAACACAGATGACCCAGTGAGGTTCTAGAAAAATAACTGAGTAGGAAATGGCCAAATTTTAATTTCAAGTAAATACACAGTACCTAATTTCCTGTCAGTCATCTCCAAAGGAGTGTGGGGGAGCCTTTTGTCTCTGGGTCCCAGAAAGCAGGAGAGAAACCTGCTTGCTCCTCAATTGCCTAGCTGACATCCAGACAGCTTTCCCACCCCCCAAGAACTGGCTCTCCTGCCTACCTGGCCCACTTCTATTCCTTTACATGCCATTTTGAACCCAGGTCCGAGGACTGACACTTGGTTCAGATGCTAATCTCCTTCACTTTGACCACAGACTAGCACTGCTGAGGAAGAGGAGTTCACACACTACAATCCTTGAGTGGTTTTATCTGCAGCACCAGATACATTTAGTACAGTAAATGTCCTAAAATCATCACTTTCCAAACATCCCCTCCCAATATCACCACCCCATGTCTCTGTCTATAAACAAATCATGAATCACCTAGTGGAGTTTAATGCTTAGCAAATTAACCCCTTGTAGCCATTTCCTTAAATACAGCATGGATATATAAATATATGCAATGTTTCCTGGAAAAGCCTAAAAGGAAAAACAAGCACTGTGCATTTTACTGATGCAATTTTAGCCATGTGAGTCTTTTCCATCTTGAATGGGAAGCTCGCTGCAATTTCAATATGGTTACCACCAAATATTAATTAAATAAACAAATTACCCAGGAACACACGATGAGGGAATGATACAAAGAAGTGTCACACAGAAACTCCTTTGTTTATTTTGCCCACGAGGAATCAGCTAGTGGTAAAACCAACCATGTCTCAAGGTAGACCATCCATTAGCCACGACCCAGAAAGATTTGCATTTTAAGTAGTTTGGTTCAGAATACAGCCAACACTGCCGAGATGCTCCTTGCCTGCCATATAGACATGCATTTCCCCTATTCACCGTGATAGTTTGATTGACAGTGCAAAAAGAAGTCATAAATTCTTAAGTATGACATCATCCAAGCCAACTTTCATTGTAAAATCAAAATTTCACATGATCATTTTGCCTTCCTATAGATGTGGTTTTCACAGCTATTCTGGTTCAGTTGAGTCATTTCTTGTTACTAACCCCCAGCCAAAAATCAACCAAACTAGAAACAAAATAAAACAAAACAAAAATCCCGAATAACCTGAATTCAGTACAAAAACAAGAACAAGGAGCATCAGCAGATCTGAAATTGCATAAGGAGCTGCCCTCCTCCTCGTAATTTCTACTTTAAATAGCAAGGGGGAGAAAAGCCACAAGGACAAGCTAGGAAGTTCCCAAATGCATCTCCTGTGTAACAGAGAAAGCCGCAGGCAGCTGGAGTGTCAAGCGAGGGAGAGGGGGAGTCGATCGCCAAGGAAGAGGGACCGAAAGGGCAAGAGACCATGGAGTAGTGGTGAGAGGAGGCAAGAGAGCTGGAATGGAGATAGAAAGAGGGCAAGGGGGCACTGAATGTAAGCGAAAGAAACCTCCCATTCACGTGGTACCACTAAAACATGCATATTTTAAAATTGGGGGAAAAAAGGAAAATAAGAAAAAAAACCCACGAAGTATGAGTTGGGTACCAAAAGCCATCTCTCGGGCTGCCGAGAGCGGCGCGTCTGCCAAGAGCGGCCCGTCTCCCCATCTACCTCTCCGTCTCTGGATCTCTGTGCCCTGCAAGACGCTCGGCTCCCACAGCCGGCCAGGACCGCACAAACCTAGCCAGCCTTACCACATATCCGGCATCCACCCGAGTGCCGTCCCCGGCGCTCCGCGCCCGTGCGGAAGGAGCGGGCCTGAGGGGGGACAGATGCCTGCGGGGGGTGGGCCAAGGTGGCTCCCCAGGAGCTGGCAGGAGAAACCTCTGCCCGCCAGCCTAGGCGGGGGTGGGGGGCTTCGCCAAAAGACGCGGTCACTGTCGCCCCCTGTGCGCTACCTCGGGCCGGCGGCGACGCGGCTAGAGGGGCGCCGGCGATGGCGCGTACCGCAATGTTTTGCCGCATCCCGGTGCCCGGAGCCGGCGCGCAGCCCCCTCCCGGGTCCCGGGCCCAAGCAGCGCCCTCGTGGGTTGGGCAGCAGAGGCGGGGACCGCTCGGGATGTCGCGGGGGCCTTCAGCTCCGCTGCGCACACATTTCTCCGCGCGCTCCCGTCCCACAACGGGCAGCTATTGGAGTTTGCATCGGCCTCTCTAGACCCGGGCGTGCGGTGGTTGAGGGAGGGGTAAGAGACGGCCAGCTCAGGCCACGAGGCCGAGGGCCACTGGGGCATCACTGGCCCGCTTGTCACAGGCAGAGTGACCCGGTGGCTCTGTGGCCGAGAGCGGGGGTCCAGGCTACCCCTCCAACTCCCCCCCCCCCCCCGCGGCCAGCCACAGAGTGCTGCTCTCACCGAGCCAGAAATCAGCTCAACATTTGGGCATCTTGCAAAGTCGCGCTGCCAGCGCTTGCCCGGCTTTGCAGGTCTTTTAGAGTTAGCCACCGGCTTCTCGCGTATTCCCTGTGTTGCTGGGTGCCAGTAATCTCCGACCAGCTCGGGGGCCACTGCTCTGAGCCCCAGATCCACGTCCGCCTAGAGTGCTTGCGAGGGGGGCGCAGAAAACAAAGCCAGCGCAGCGGCCCCGACAGCCCGAGCCGCCCTAGACCAGGACACTTTCCCCGCCGCCCCGGCTGCCCGGGGAGGCAGTGATGTTAAGGACACCGGATTCTTTTGGTCCTCAGGGACTTGTGACCGCGCCGTGGGTAGGCAAGCAGGGTGGTGGTGGGGTAGCCACTATGGTCGCTTTGGCCACTCGGCCGGCCCCAAACCAACACGACCCAAACTAAAAATAATAAGCTACCTGCCCCCCTCCGCGCGTGCGCGCGCGCCCGCGCGGGCACACACACACACACACACACACACACACACACTCGTGCTGCTGAACCAAGCGGGGAAGAGGCAGCGAGTGGCGGTGCAGCTCGCGCAGCCCCGCTGGAAATTCACCCACCTCCGGAGCCCAGCAGCTCTCGCAGGGCCCGCCGCGCTGTGATCCGCTCTGCAGTTTCCACGATGGTCTCTACGTGATCCGGGGTCGAGCTGCTCCGCGCCGGCTCGCCCGTCAAACCCACCAAGCAGCCCTCGCAGGCAAGCGGGCGGGCAGCGGCGCGCACGCGCGCACCCGGCCAGACACCGCGCGCGCACCCAGCCCCTCGCACACGGGCTGCACCTTTACATACACGCGTCGAATCCCCGCCCCCGCCCCCCCCCACACCCCGCGCACACGCAGCCTCCCTCCCGAAACTCAGGAACCTCGACCCCCGCACGTTGCTGAGGCCCCCTGTCCTCCATCCAGACACCTCCACTTGATTCCTCTTCTACCCACACGCCAAGAAAGCGCACTTTCCTCCAGGCATCCGCCCCCTCTTTATGCCTAAAACACCCCCTAGGGAGGAGCGACCCCTTTCCTCACGCGCAGAGACCCCAGTCTCCAAACGCGAGCGCGCCAGCCTCCATCCTCCCACCACATACACGCACACTCGAGTCCTTTCTCCTCCCTCAGTCCCCTAAGAACGAAGGCACACACACACACACACACACACACACACACACACGGGGCGTTCCTTTGAGAGAGCAACCAAGAACCCAGGCAAAGCCAAAGAAACGTCGGAGTGGGGGAGGGGGGCCGAGGGAGGTAGACAGGGTCGTCGAGTCTACGCGGGATTGAATAATTCCAGGATCGAGGGGGGTGAGTCAACAACAATGACATTCAAAGGCAACAATCGCACTTGGGCTTTGTATAACGGTTACAGTACCTTCGGCTAATTGTCACCCCGCAGATCAGAGGGCTCCGGGAATACTTCTTCGGCAGCGGGCGATCCTGGATGGAGCCTTCTTGGGACCAGTTTCCTGGGATCCAGTAGTATCCTCACTCCCCCTACCTGTCTGCGCGTAAGGGCCTGGGGGCTTTAAGGCAAAAGTGTGAAGCTTTAGCCCAGAGTGAGACTTATTTAGTGGGTTTAGGAGGAGACGGGTTAATTCTCCGCACCTTAGAACTCTGCGTGCCTTCGGTGTAGAACGGGTTAAGCAGGACGATTAAAGAGCTGGGGGTGGGGAGAGGGGGAGAGGGATAGAGGAAAGAGAGGTGTGGGACCGGGAGAGATGCCTCACTTGCGACCAAAAGAAGAAGGAAAAAAAAAAAAAAAAATCTGCTTTGGCTACTGAGCATGCCCAGTTCCCAGCTCGAGCCCTATAAGGGAGGCATTGTGTGCGTTCCACTTCTCCGGGCTTTGGTGGTGACCGGGAGGGGACTTTGGTTGGGGAGGGTGGTGGTGAATGAGAGGCTTTAGGGAAGGGGGACAAGGTTTGGAGCTTTGGGGGCTGTGCGGGAAGAGAGACCCACGGGATACCTTGGGGAGTCAGAAAAGGAGACAACGGAAGGGACTACGAAAAGTCACTTCAGTAGCCCCCTCACTATCATGGCTATACCAAAGTGGCTTTAGCAATTGAATCTCAAATATCCAGAAGCTGCAAATCCAGCGTGTGGATTGTCTAGGCCCTTTTCTTCTACCCATTTGCTAGTGCTTCCACAAGAGAGTAGGAATATCCTGGGGAAAGGCTAATGTTCAAACGAAGTTTCATGAAGACTGGGAATTTAGTTAATAAGCTTGGCAAGAAAGCAAATGTACCTGTGGGGCGGGGGACATTGGCTCTCTGGTATGTATTTCAAATACCTGGCTTTCCTAATGAGGAAAGGCTAAAACGGTCGTTTTACTCCCCTCCCCCCCAACCTTGCTGTTTTTGTAGGTGCTTGGCTAAGAAAAACAACTCTCTCTCTTTACTTTGTGTCTGTGGGGATAAACTGGCTTTAGGTAAATAGAGCTAAGTTATAAAAGGCAAGTATTTTCCTAGCCCATTCTTTGCCACATTTCAGGTAAATTACTGCAGGGCCCATTTCTTCACGACCTATGTTCTGCCTAATCCACTTATTCAAATTCCAGTCGCTCTAGCCACAATAGGGTATAGTCAGTACCCAGAAATGCTTTTACTTAAAAATGAAAAACTCTTTAAACTAAAACTAGCAATAGCTTTGAAACCAGAATTTGGCTGTCTGCCTGAACTCCTACAGTTAAACATTTACCATAATTGGTTGATGTTTAAAGGCCTCAAATCTAGGCAAAAAATCCAATGAGGAAAGAATTTATTACATTATTTGTGGGTAGTGTCCTATCTTCTATATTATCTGTGGTATCTATTCACATATAAGTTCAAATTTTTTCATTTTTGTCATTTCATGAGGCTGTCTTCAGGTTATATTCATGCAAATGTTTGCTGGGCACAGCATGTATATAGAGATGCATGTACAATGTTTAAATGAATATTTAAATAGATACGTGTATATAGGCATATTTTCTTATGACCTTGGTAAATATTGCATCTTTCCTAAAGAATCCTTTCTCTACCCTCATGCTTTACTGTCCTTAAAAATTTCGTCTTCTCTTTTAAAAACCTAGAGGCAGAAATTGAGTGGGCAGCAATGGTAAATTTTGCTATATTCCATGTGAAATCCGTTACGAAATAGCATTACTTAAGGAAACACTAAAGGATCCGTCCATAACAACATAGGCACTTGTGCAGCTCCTTAGTAAGGTGAAATTTGTTTCCTCCATAGGTAACAGCTGCAGTATGTTGAAAAATCCCTCTACTGTTGTACATTTGAACAAAACAGATCCTGCTAATTAAGAACTCACATTTGCATTATATTGTATAATGCAATTTGAAAGTGGTAATGGATACCAAAACAAGTTGGCATTTATTCTAAATGCAAAGGATTCAGGAAGCTACAATATATTTTATCAGGATAGAGGAATTGTTTGTCCTTTACTATAAATGTTAACAAGATTCAATAGAATGAGCAAAAAAATTTTACCTGAAAATATAATGCACATTCCAAGCACTGTGAGAGCTGAAAAGGCCAGATTTGGACAGTAAATATCAGATGATTTAAATGCCTACCTTTATTCAACTTTAGAAACTGTTCTGAGAGTTGACTGTAATTTGACTGTAATAACTGTGAAATGTTCTTTTTCATATGGGTATGGAGACAGAAGTCTGAAAACAAGTACAGCTAGAACATCAATAAACTACAATTAATAATAGTGCTAAAACATTTCGGTGGTTAGTATCTAAGTCATTAAAATGAATGCTTTCAAATAAAATATTTTGCTGCTTAAAAATGATAAAGTGGATACTCCTAAAAATAACATAGAATAGCTTCCATGCCTTCTGCTTCTTTTGCTTTCAAATTTAAAAACCCAGTCCTTTAGTCCTGCAGTCTCTTTTCTAGCTCCTAGAATGACACGTGATATCCATATAGAACAATAGTAAACTAAAGGAAATTGCTAGCTTAAAAAAAGGAAGGAACCATGAGAGACTATGGACTCTGAGAAACAAACTGAGGGTTCTAGAGGGGAAGGGGGTGGAGGAATGGGTATTAAAGAGGGCAGGTACTGAATGGAGCACGCGAACAATGAATCATGGAACACTACATCAAAAACTAATGATGTAATGTATGGTGATTAACATAACATAATAAAACAATAAAAAAAGGAAGTAAATATATAAATAAATAAAAATGTTAAGAAAACTCCAGCACTATTTATGGCAATGGAAAGAAACACAAAGTTGATGTTCTTCCTAAAATATATGAATGCAAATATTGTGAGACAGATTTGCAATAGCCTCATTGTTTTTCTACAAATATTCCATCATACTTAATCTTGGCTTTGCCAGGAGTACAACTGGAACCATAGGACTACACCGATTTGCTGTGTCTCCCGCTTTCAGGACAAATAAACAACTTCACCAGGAATTTCACCAAGCTCCTGGATATCCTTAATTCCAAAGGCAGTTTTAGTCAATCAAACGCTACCATTCACAAATGAGTAAAACACCAAGAAAACTTGGCCCTTGTCAGTTGTCTTGCACTCTCATATTCCTCATTTATCCTGCCTTGTTTTGCTGCTGGGTTTTTTTTTTTTTTAATTTCCTTAAGTAATCTCTACACCTGACGTGGGGCTCAAACTCAGGAACCTGAAACTGAGATCAGGATTCACGTGCTCTACCAACTGAGCTAGCCAGGGACCCCCTGTCCTGTTGTTGTTTAAAATCAAATTAGCCTTAATTTTGGTATCCAGGTATCACACACAGATCTTTCAGTGTATCTTAATTTCGAAAATGTATTTATACTCTGGCATTTAAAGAAATTACAAATTTGGCATCTCTCGAATTGGAATACAAGAAATTTCTGAGGATGTTAACATATCTTCTGGGAAGAGACGTTTCTAAGATCAAATAAGTTTAGAAGACCCTTGCTTCCATAAAGCTAAACAGTTTTTTTTAAACTTTGGGATTTCTCAGGAAATTCAATTATATTAAAAATGAATTCTGACTTACAAGGGGAAAAGATACATAGCATGTAACATTTCCCAAACTTATTTGACTATGGAAGCCTTTTTTGTTTTAATCACATACACTTTGAGAAACCTTGTACTAATTGCTCATTTTTGCAAATTTTGTGGAAATCAGGAGCTGAAAGGTAGCTTTCAGATCATAATCTAATCCATACCATAGAAGCTATTATCTATTGAGTGCCTCTTCTTCTTAGCCGTATTTGCCTCCAAACATTATTTTCTTTAGTTCTTTAGTTCTCTGAATACTGCAAGGGAGAGATTCTTCTTCTTCTTTAAAAATCAAGGTTCAGGGAAGTTGAATGATTTGCTCAAGGTACACAGTAGTAAGTGACAGTCAAGATTTGACCCCAGGTCTTTGACATCTCCCCAATACCCCACACTTCCTTGTCCACAGAGGAATTAAGGCACTTTTAATTTGGAAAGCATGATAGATTTTTTTCCTCAAAGATAAACACTCGGGACACAAATGTTTGCAAGTAGTAAAGTATTAATATGCAACACTAGATTAAACCAATAAAGGACATGGAAAACAGTTTAGATCAATTATATATGACAGGGTCTCTTAAATCAGCTGCTTTCCCCCTTTGCCAATAGCGGGCTTGTTCCATTCATCTTGCTCTTTTACATACCTGAGTTGATTCTGAACCTGTGATGTCTCAATTGTCTCTTACTAGAGACAGTTGCCTTTGCTACTGCTAAATGGAGCCGGGTAAAGCAGTAGTAGTGTTCATCTCTAAACTGACTCTGCTATCCAGTAGGGCACTGACTAATCGGAGAAGGTGAGATTAGTTGTTTGATTGATTAGATTATATCAACCCACGTAACCTT